AATCAAAACTGGCCCTATTTACAGTATCTCCTGCAAGTACGATTTAACCTGGTTTGAGAACTTCAGCATACATTTTCATTTCCGCATTTGGCAGATGATTTTATCCAACATTTCATTCAAGATATATACATTTTATCAGTTCATGCACTCCGTGGGAATCAAACCTGTGACCTTGGCTGTCATTGTATAAATGCTTACATATCATTGCGTATCTTTGCCTTAGATAACAATATATCATTAGATAGCAATCCATCAAACTAATTATTTTATAATAAAGAAAAATAGGCTTAGCACAAGTACACTTTATGCAAAACCTTTGGCAAAAAAAGTTTTTTAGTGTTAAAATGCTAAGATACTTGATTTACTGTTCACAATTAATTATTTGGACTCTTTCAAGGCTATTGAAACATGTTACAATAATTAATGTGATGAACATGTTACTTACTCTGCTAAGGCACCTGTGTAAACCTGAGGGGAACTGACTTAATACAGCCACTAAAATTCACCAAAACAAAGCTCACTCTAGTCTACCTTAAATGTCCTCTGACCAAAGTTTGTTAGACACTGACCTCAAGTGTTAGAACTGGTAGAAGCAACATCCAGAACGTCTTTCTCAGGTTAGAGCCAAATGTAATTTCTGACAGGTATAAAAACAAGAATGTGAGGGACTGGAGTGCAGCGCGTTCAATGGAATATACTGTTTAACAACATAACGATTGTTCAGCTGATGAAATGTCTTTCTGGCAAAAAAAAAAAAACTTTAGTTAGACGCTCGATAAAACACTTTTAAAAGTTGAGAGCTGTGATCTAGTACTTTTAGACAGTGCATGCCATTGTAAAGACCGTCTCTCCTTCACACCCTCCGTTTCATACACATTCAATTCAATATAGCATCTATGGTATAGTACTAACAGATACTCTTACTTTTCTGTAGAATATAGTAGGCCTATATATTGTGTTATATCAGGACATCTTAAGGTGCAGGAGGTCACATGATAAAAGCACATAAAATTACTAAAACTACAAAAAAAA